ACATGAGCGGCAACGAGGGAACCATGGGAACCATGGATGAGAGACTGGGGCATGATTGGCAATTGTGAGTAATTACTTGGTTAATTACTTAGGATTGGGTCATTAGTAATTCATTAGTTATTTGGAGCCGAGGATGGGCCAGCTGATGAGTCAGATCCATGGGTTGCTCCATAACATGGAGCGGCGAGCCGTCATGGGCCGGATAAGTAAGCATCTTTTGTGTTTTAAATTATTTAGTTAATGAGGTATTACAGGTTTAATTACATTTGTCTTGAGCCAAGGACGAAGTCCATGGCAGTTTCCGCGATCGCCTCCGCCATGTTGCCACCAGGCTCATGGCGGGGCGATCATGGGTTTTGGTCAATTGGCAGTGGCTCGGACCGTCAGTAGTAATTAATTAGTCATAATAAGAATGTAAATTACATATTTTAAGCTCTGAAGCCCATACATGAGGGAATGGCGCTGCGATCAGTGGATGAGAGATGAGCTCCTCCACACATGGATGCTCTATGCTCCTCGCCTGGTATTAGTGTTTTTTAAATAATAAGTAATTAATTAGGGTTTAGGGTGCAATTAGGATTGGGTTTAGGAGTGCTTGGGGTTTGAGTTCGTGCATGAGGAGTACGACATCGTCATGAGCCACCCCATGCTGCATCGCCATTGGCCCATCATTTGCACGGTGGCATGGGTCGAGGCCCCTGCCGAAACCCTAAAAACCCCTAAACAAAACCCCCTAACCCCTGTAAACCCTAACCCCACAACCATAACTAATTATCCCTAAACCCTAAACCCTGCAGGTGAGCCTGGCATTGTTCCGGACCCATGAGTATGACAGCGATGAGTCTGGATGCTGCAGTAGTTCGTTTTTTTAGATTAGGGTTTAGGGTTTAAGGTTTAATTAGGGTTAATTAAACCCTCCTAAGTAAACCCTACTTAACCCCTACTTTAATTAACATAATTAAACCCTAAGCCCTAAACCCAGGCTGTATGATCCTCGCAATGATGTGATCAGCGATAAGCACATGGTCATGAGCGAGGTGACGCAGAACATGGAGTCCGCCATGAGGACAGCCTTCATAATTGAGAGTAATTAGAGCCCAAACCCCATAAGGCCCAATTAACCCCCCCCTTTCAGGACGGAGATCTTTCAGCTGGCATCATGGGAGACTGTGTGGGGCGACATGAGAGGCAGCTCAGGGAATAATTTAAGTATCAATTTTCCATAATTTGTTACGGTTAATAGATTATTGAGAAATAAGTTCTGGTTTTTTATTAGTTAGCTAGTAATAAGATTCAGCCGAGGCAAGCATTGGCTGATCAAAAGCTGGCACGGCATGGGCCGTTCCCAGCATGAGCCGGCCAAATTCAGAGCATGGGTTGAGACCCATGGGCCAGAGCCCAAAGCGATCATGCGGTCCTTCCATGGGCATTTCATGCCCATTGAGGCGGAGGCATGAGCCCTCAGCCCGGCCATGAGTCCATGAGGAGATGGGCTCGTATATGAGCCATAAGGCTGTAGATCCCATGAGGAGATGGGCTTTTTTAAAAGCACCCATGACGCCAGCCATGAGCTGCATTAATTAGTTCAGTTAGGGATAAGATTAGTCTTTGGGTTTGTTTGGGGTTTAATTAAGGTTTAGGGTTTAGGATCAGGTTAAGCTCGGCATAGCGCCGCATGAGTAAGTAATCAATGCATGAAGCAGCATGGCATTTTTCATGGGTGCGATGAGGGGATGGCTTTCTGATCTTCGCATGAGAGCAGCGAAACACATGGGGAGGGTTGGGCCCTTACTTAAAGGATCATGGGACTTAGTAATTAACTAGGGTTATAATTAGGGTAATTAACTATACTTATAACCCCAGTTAGGGTACTTATAACCTTACTTACTAAGTCCCATGATCCTCCAAGTAGTTAATGCCAAAACTCCAAACCCCATACTGCCCTTATCCCTAAACCCTTTAACTACACCCTAGACCCTCAACCTTAAACCTTAATTAAACCCTTTTAACTTAACCCTAAACCCTAAAACCCTAAACCTTAAACCCTTCGAAATAAACCCTACACCCTAAAACCCTAAACCTTAAACCCTTCGCCTTCTAACCAATTAAACCCTAAACCCTAAAACCCTAAAACCCTAAAACCCTAAACCTGAAACCCTTGTAGCTAAACCCTAAACCCTAAATCCCTAAACCTTATATAAATCCTTGAAAATAACCCCTAAACCCTAAAAGCCCAAACCTGACACACTGCTGCGGGCATGAGCTGCATGAAGCCGCACAAATGCAGTGACTTAGATGAGCTGTGGGCATGAGCTGCATGACACCGCTTGCATGCAGTGCTTTCGATCAGCTGTGAGCATGACAAGCATTGTGGATGAGCTGTGGGCATGAGTTTTTGATAAAATGTGATTTTGAGCTTTAGGCATTTGTTTCATTAAGTTTCACATTGTGCCTTTTTCATGACATAGGTTTTCAAGTGAGTGTGCATCTGTATCACGCCATGGTGTGGAGCATCAGTCTTCGTGAGCAGGTGACATGCCACAACAGGTTTGCCATCCTGTCGCAACCAGATGAGGATGAAGATGAGCTCATTGCTTTGAACGACATGTTCTTCGACTGGGATGAGCTGGAGAACAGGTGGAATGAGATGAATGAGCCTTGGGAGCTTCATGATTTTTCCTTCATGGGGAGGTTCTCATGGTCTGATGAGTCAGAGAAGACTGGGGTTGCTCAGCATGTTTACCAGCACGAGCATGTCAACAGCATGAGCCGCAGCAGCAAGGGCATGAGAGAAGTGAAGAAGCATGCTGTTGTGAGAGACAAGAAAGCAGCATGCAGTGAGCCCATGCCTCAGATCATGCCAGCTCCCATTCGAGATGAGGGCTTGCGGCAGAGGCTGCATGAGAGCATTCTGAGCATGCAGTTGACAAGGCATTCGCAGTACCATGCGATTCGCAGCATCATGAGAAAGGCATTCAAGACGCATGCGAAAAAGGAGCGACGACTCAAGCGCCAGCATGAGCAATTGAAGACCTCTGCATTCTTCGATTGGGACGAGTTAGATGCTGCTGAAGACAATGAGCTGAGCAAGCGATCAAACTCATGGTTCGATTGGGATGAGCTGAGTTCTGCTGAAGCCATCAGCAAGGCCAGCATGGGGAAAGCATGTAAATGTGCCTGTGATGAACATGTTTTCCGTCTCTGATATAACTATTCTCCAATCCTCATTCCTTATATCTCTGATATTCTCCAATCGAAATTCCTTATATCTCTGATATATTCTCCAATCCTCATTCCTTATATCTCGGATATTCTCCAATCGAAATTCTTTATATCTCTGATATATTCTCCAATCCTCATTCCTTATATCTCGGATATTCTCCAATCGAAATTCCTTATATCTCTGATATATTCTCCAATCCTCATTCCTTATATCTCGGATATTCTTCAATCGAAAATCCTTATTTCTTTGATATATTCTCCAACCCTCATTCCTTATATCTCTGATATTCTCCAATCGAAAGTCCTTCTATTCCTGATATATTCTCAAAGCCTCGGGCTTTCTAGGTCAAAGCCAAGGGCCTGCAAATCCCTGGTCCCGGGCCGGACCCTGTTAATCGGGGGGGGTTTCCTGCTATTCTGGGGGGGGCGGGGCCTGCAAAGGGGTAGCCTTGGAAAACTTGACAAACCTATTCTTTTTATATACGGTTTAATTAGGGAACCACCTGTTTCTGGCAGCAGAAGATATCACCCAAATCCCAGGGATCCCAAGGCCAGGGATCTCTGACCCTTCCATCTCAAAGCTTCGGGCTTTCTAGGTCAAAGCCAAGGGCCTGCAAATCCCTGGTCCCGGGCCGGACCCTGTTAATCGGGGGGGGTTTCCTGCTATTCTGGGGGGGGCGGGGCCTGCAAAGGGGTAGCCTTGGAAAACTTGACAAACCTACTCTTTTTATATACGGTTTAATTAGGGAACCACCTGTTTCTGGCAGCAGAAGATATCACCGAAATCCCAGGGATCCCAAGGCCAGGGATCTCTGACCCTTCCATCTCAAAGCTTCGGGCTTTCTAGGTCAAAGCCAAGGGCCTGCAAATCCCTGGTCCCGGGCCGGACCCTGTTAATCGGGGGGGGTTTCCTGCTATTCTGGGGGGGGCGGGGCCTGCAAAGGGGTAGCCTTGGAAAACTTGACAAACCTATTCTTTTTATATACGGTTTAATTAGGGAACCACCTGTTTCTGGCAGCAGAAGATATCACCCAAATCCCAGGGATCCCAAGGCCAGGGATCTCTGACCCTTCCATCTCAAAGCTTCGGGCTTTCTAGGACAAAGCCAAGGGCCTGCAAATCCCTGGTCCCGGGCCGGACCCTGTTAATCGGGGGGGGTTTCCTGCTATTCTGGGGGGGGCGGGGCCTGCAAAGGGGTAGCCTTGGAAAACTTGACAAACCTATTCTTTTTATATACGGTTTAATTAGGGAACCACCTGTTTCTGGCAGCAGAAGATATCACCCAAATCCCAGGGATCCCAAGGCCAGGGATCTCTGACCCTTCCATCTCAAAGCTTCGGGCTTTCTAGGTCAAAGCCAAGGGCCTGCAAATCCCTGGTCCCGGGCCGGACCCTGTTAATCGGGGGGGGTTTCCTGCTATTCTGGGGGGGGCGGGGCCTGCAAAGGGGTAGCCTTGGAAAACTTGACAAACCTATTCTTTTTATATACGGTTTAATTAGGGAACCACCTGTTTCTGGCAGCAGAAGATATCACCCAAATCCCAGGGATCCCAAGGCCAGGGATCTCTGACCCTTCCATCTCAAAGCTTCGGGCTTTCTAGGTCAAAGCCAAGGGCCTGCAAATCCCTGGTCCCGGGCCGGACCCTGTTAATCGGGGGGGGTTTCCTGCTATTCTGGGGGGGCTTCCTGCCTGCTATTCTGGGCAGAGAAAAAGATAATTAATAAATTCTCTTGCTTCTGCTTGTGCAGGAGAAGGCAGAAAGGGAGTACTGGCGAAGCATGATGCGAATGAGGGGAGGCGGTGATGAGTCGCAGCATGAGCAGGAGCAAGAGAATGAGGAGACAGCCATAGTCCTGGACGATGAGGACAAAGCCCTCTCCCAGACTCCTGTGGCAAAGAAAGAAGCGGATGAGAGCATGAGCCCACCCACGGACCGTGTCAAGCGACAGCTGAGCTTTGGATCGGCTTCATCAGCCGAGTCCAAGCAGTCAAGGCTGCATAAGTTCTTCCGGTCTCCGTCATCCTTCTCTGACGACAGCAGCATCCATGAGACGCCCAGTCCGCCGCCCAAGAGGCCAAGACATCGCATGGAAGACACTCTTCGTGAGATGTTGAAGAGTGGGCAGCTGTCGCTTGATGGGAAGAAGCTGACCCTGACAGCCCATGAGGATGTCATCCCAAAGCTGCAGCAGGAGGTGGGCAAGAAGTTTGGGAGGTTCGGAGGTCGGCCCATGAAGCCGGTCAGCGAAAGGAGAGGGATCATGGGTGGCCAGAAGTCCAACCGGAGAAAGGCCAATGAGAAACCTCGGCAGTTTGAGTTGCCTGTGTCCATGAAGAACCGCATCTGCCAGCAAATCTATGAGACCCGTGGGCACCATCCCGCTGAGCAAGACATGCTCAAGGCCTTTGCAAAGAAGAGCAAGATGAGGTTGGACAAGCTGCAGGACATCTGGGCCAACAGGAGCACATGGGCTCAGCTCGAAAAGAAGGACCATGGCAACATGATCGGTGGGGAGCATTCCAAGCAGAGGCCAAGGATGAGAGCAGAAGGTGCTGGTGCCAAGCGACAATTCCCTGAGGTCGTCCAGAAACTTGGCCATTGGCTTGACAAAGAACGAGCCCATGGTCATCAGGTGCTGCAGCGGCACCTGGCATGGCAGTATGAGCTGCTCCTTCAGGAACACATGGTTGAGCTTACGGAGCTGCTTGAGTCTGAGAAGAGTAAGGACATGAGCACAGAGGAGCGGCAGCAGCATGAGGTGAAGCTAAAGCTTGCAGAGAAGCAGATTGAGGCCATGCATGGGAGCGAGAAGCTGATGAACAAAAGGGCAAAGACATTGGCCACATGGCTTGGGGCTGAGACGAGGGTTCCAAACCTCGTGACCCAGATCAGTTCCGTGGAGCAGCAGGTGAGGGCTGAGCTCTCGTGGCAACACCATGACTGGTGCATTCACAAGGTGGCATCAGCAGATGAGGACTTCATGAGACAGTACTTTGCCAGGCCCAATGAGATCACCCCAGCCATTCGAAAGGCATGTGTTCTGGGCTTCTCCGATCAGGTGCCACTCTGGCTGAAGTCTGGGTCCAAGAAAGAAATCATGGCTTCATGGGAAGTAGCAGGCCTCAAGAAGAAGAAGCAGCATCCGCACCTGCATGAGCCGCAGCAGACCGCAGATGAGACACACCCGGCAGCTGAGGAGCCTCATGAGGAGTCGAAAGCTGAGGAGCCTCATGAGGAGTCGAAAGCTGAGGAGCATCATGAGAAGCAGCCACATGAGCAGGAGGAACCAGGTGATGAGTGGAAGCTCGCCATGCCAGATGAGAAGCATGAGATGGCCCATTTGACCACCCGTCGGCAAGAGAAGGCCGATAGGTACAGGGTCACATTTGAGGCCATGCAGCTCGTGAGTGGCTTCTTCGACCATGAGAAGACCCCCGAAGGCCACTGCATGAGAGGCATTCTGATAGTTCCCGGCCAGCATGCACGGTTGGATAACATTGACGAGCATGGGAAATGGAAAGAGGATGAGACATTCTTCTACATGGGTCAAGAGAGACGCCACATCGGAGGTGAGAGCTGCGGCCGAGCTCTCATCAGCTGGCGAAAGCTGCGAGATGAGATGCCACAAGCATTCCGGCATTTCTCCGTCATGAGCCAGCCTGCATCCAACAGCGATGGGATTTGCTTGCCATGGGTCATAAAGGATCAGGCTAGGCAGTTCCCATTGAGTGTGTGGATGAGGGATGCGTATGGGCCTGCATTCACATCAGATACGGTCAAGACCCTCTTCATGGGGCATCAGGTTCAGTCGAGCATCATGCCGAAGATGACATCAGCATTACAGCTCACTGATACAGATTTTTCACATGCCTTTAAGGCATCAGTGAGAAGAGCCATCGATGAGCAGAGCATGAGGCAGGCGGCTCGCCGGAATGAGGAGGATGGGCACCATGAGCAGCAGTTCCCGAAGATGGGCATCAAGGAGATGGCATTGGCCATCGACGCTGCCATGGAGCACATGATCCAGATGAATGAGAAGACGGAATGGGTCCTGGCTGGGCTCCGCCGCAATGGGTTCTTGGCCCTGAGACCTGATGAGCATGGCAAGATGAGGAAGTGCGATCACGAGGCATGGGCCAAGGACAAGCCATTGGGCTGCAAGAGGATCCATCCGACATGGGTCGCCAATCGGTATCAGCATGAGAACAATGGAGACATTGAGAAACCCAATTGGGCTCGCATTGAGGGAGCCACTGAGTTGAGTGACCTGGCCCATTGGCACTACAACGATGGGTTCAAGGATGCCCCAAGCTGGGAGGACATCCCATTTGATGAGCATTCCGAGCCTGAATGGCAGGCATGCGCCAAGTTCCAGATGCCATTAGACCTGAGAAGGGCCATGCTGGCAAGAGAGGCGACCATGAGCGATCAAGCCAAGGCAAAGAGGGAGAGGAGAAGAGAGAAGAATAAGACCAGGCGGCAGAAGAAGCAACAGGAGCATCAGCTCACGGATGAGGCCCGGGAGGAGCTGAGAGCAAGCATGCAGGAAACCTCCAGGCTCCTCGCCCTTCCTACTTGCCCTAAACCCCCATGAGACTCTCCTCCTGTCATGCCACCAGCCAAGGTATGCCGCCATGAGGGATCTGCCAGCATCGGCCTCGAAGAAAGGCAAGGCGAAGGCCAAGGCGAAGGCCCAGGCCAAGGCCGAAGCCAAGGCCAAGGGCATGAGCTTGTCCAAGATGGGCAAGATGGCCAAAAAGCAGCATAAGAAGCAGCTCAAGAAAAACGCATTGAGCAAAGCGGTGGATGAGCTCCCTGAGCCGCCATTGCCTCCGCCACCCGGCCCACCAGCTATGAGTGCTGACACTGGTGAGCATGACATGACCAAGGGCACATGGAGGATAGTCAATGAGGCCTGTGGGTTCGAGAGAAAATTAGCTGGTTGAGCAAAGCCCATCATAAGCTCTCCCTAGCCGCAGGACGCTGGCATTTCGCTGTATGGGCGGCATGGGTCCATTCTGGGTGTCGGCCGTCAGAACTGCCACATGCTGCTGGAGAAGGACCATTTCTTCCCCAAGCAGCAGAAGGCATGGGTCAGCAAGAGCCATTGTGAGCGATTGCCAGAGGGTGAGCATAAGGTGTGGAAGTGGGCCCAGATGTCCTTCTACCGGGCCTGGAAGCAGGAAATGCTGCTTGACATGGGGCTCTTGAGCCAGGACCTGGATCAGCTGGATGGGCTTGAGCAGGTTCACATCCTCCCATACCCAGCCATTGAGGCCGGCGGCATAGAGCTGCAACAGCTGCATTTGGGCTGGCGAGTCCTGCTTTGGCACATGCTCCAGAGCTCAATGCCCTGCAAGAGCATGGGCTTCATTAGTCCTGGATGGACACAGCCACTATATCTGCATCATGACAATGCCAAAGTGGATGTGGATGCATTCATTGAGTGCATCAAAAAGCAGATGAGTGCTCATACACTGAACTTCCTCCCCCTGGGGTCTGCTGGGCACTGGGTTTTGCTCGTCATAGATGCGACACATGAGTCTGAGACTCCCAAAGTGAGGCACACCATGCTTTTTCCTCCTTTTCCCTATTATAAGGTAGAGTTGTGCATGGGGACTCCTTATTTCGCATTCGCACGCAGAGCCAGCCCTGAGGTACTATGACTCCCTGCCGGATGAGTCCCAGCGATGCAGGGACTACGCTGAGAAAATCTTGGCATCCCTGCTCTCCATGGGCCTGGTGCATGAGGCGGTGCTGCCTCCTCGCAGGAACAAGGTCTTCCAGGGAGTCGATGAGTGCGGATTGCATGTTCTGGCTGCCATGGAGCAAGAGGCCGCAAAGGCCATGGGGTTTGGAAAGGCCAGCACTGGGTGGCCTTCGCATTCGGCGAAGAAGTGGCATGAGCGGCTGCATAAGGTCACAAATGCTCTCCGCACTGAGCAGACCAAGCGACTGGATGAGCTGAAACAGCATAAGAAGAAGGAGGAGGCCTTGGGAATCAAGATACTCGGACCTTTAGTATTTAGGCCCATTTTCCCTTTTGTAATTAGTCTTAGACATACAGGGACCCTTTTCTTCCTGGGCTTCCCAGGATGAGAAAAGAGCGAGAGCACATGGCGGCCATGGCTGAGAAACGCATGAGCAAAGGCCTTGAGCTGACTGCGCTTCAGAAGATGGCCCATGAGGTCATTAGCCAAGGCAAAGTCCTTGAGATCGAGGACATGCCCCAGGCATACTGGGATGAGAGAAATCGAATCGAACTCCATGAGATTGGAGTCTGCAGCCGCTGCCGGCATGCCTCAGGCTGCCTGAGCTGCGATGAGGGTAAGCTCCTCGCATACTGGATGAGGAGGGAAGCCCGCAGATTGGGCAGGAACATTGCCCCTAAGTACAAGCTTAGCTCTGCTGGACATGAGCTGGTCCAATGAGGAAAAGTCTGCCATCATGAGTTCTTTACGGTTTAGGCTTCAGGGTTTGGGGTTTAGGGTTAAGTCATAAGCCTCTAAATCCCCTAAATCCTTATTTCGGGGATTTTCGGGGATGGCCCCGTCTAATCGGGGGGGGCTTAAATGAGCTCCGGTACTATAGGGGTGGGGTCTAATGGACCTCTTCATTAAGCCCATGAAATGCCCGGGACCGCCCCGTCTAATCTGGGGGGGTATCTTAATCGGTAAACGACATTAGGGCAGGTGAAGTGGGTCACAGACCCTCCCCACCTGGCCAACTTCCAAAGGAGTTCATGGTCATGGCCATAGGAGTCAAAGCAGATCACATCTTCCAGGGCATCATCTATGGCAAGCCAAGGCACCCCCTGATGAGGGAGGCCATACAGCACGCCTTCAGCCGTCAGGTCATGACTGCGAAGGCGAATCTGGACTGTATGATCTTCTGCAAATTCCTCTGGCAGATCTTGAGTCGGGACCTTGGACACCCTCCCCAATCAGGCTGGAATGTCTCCGCCAAGTTTGGCCCCATCTACTTGTTGCTGGAGCGCTGGGACAGGCGCGTGAAGAACAAAAAGTACGACAATGACGGCCACTACTTCGTGACAGCCAACAACACCACAGTCGCCTACACCAGGTGCTGGAAGTGGATGAAGGGATTTCAGGGCGACCCCACCACCAAGGAGCGAACTGATCGCATGCTGCAGAGCCAACTCCCAGACATCTCTCTGGAAATCCAGTCCGATGATCAGCCAGAAGAGCACAGCTCACCTCAGCCACTTAGGTCACAGACCACGGCAACTGCCACTGCAGCTCCTCCTCCTCCTACTCAGGAAGAGATCGAAACGTACGTGGCTGACAGCATCCAGAACAACTCCTTTGCGGCGCTCATGGCCACAGTCCGCGAGACCCATCATTACAACCAGGATCTTACGGAGCAGGACGTGCTGGAGCTCATTCCTCGTGGTTTGGGACAAATGGAAGTTTCAGGTTCCATGTGGCTCTGCTGCCTACACTGTCGGAAGCAACCGCCAGGTCCAGTTCAGCACAAGCCATGGCCTCAAAAACCACTTTGTCACGCAGAAGCATGACCCTGTGTCTCAACCTGCGGCGTCAAGTGAAGGGATGGCTACCCCAGTGCCGCATCCCCCTCCTCCAAAGCCCCCGCAGGAGATTCCTCTCCCACCTAGCAGCACCCGCACTAAAGGGTCAGACTTCCACGGCAGCAGAGAAGGCGGCTTTCAAGGCAAGCCAGGGGGAGGCTCCGGTTAAGGCCCCACCGGCCACGGTACCCACCCCGTCCCCCCACCCTCCGGCAGGTTCCTCTTCGGCTGCACCGGCTCCCCCACCAGCTATCCCGGCTTCACCAGTCCCTCCACATCCCCCCAAGTCTGCCTCTCCCCAGGCCCCTGCTGCGCAAGCCGCTCAGCGCTCCCTCACGCCCCCCCCTCCCTCCTCTCGCCCCCCGTCAGCATACGAACCTCCGGAGACAAATGCGGAACCAGTTGGCTATATTCCACAGCCGGCCCCACCAATGACAATTCGTTACACGAGGCAGGAGCTGGCTCAACTGCTGAGTTCCCAGTCCCACCAGGACTGGATTCGGGCATTGGCTTCCATCAATATTTTGGTGGCTCCAGTTATTCTCGGAGGCCTCGCCAACCACGAGCAGCAGACCCTCTGGTCCACCCGGATGGAGGCACTCCGCCAGGTACCTCCGCTGTTTTCGGCCATCCGGTCGGTGAAGACACAGTCCGGACTCACATGGGACATCGCTATGTCTGTGCGGCGCGTCCTCACCAGCGATGGGAAAGTGACCATAGCCACAGGCTCAGGAGGAGCCTACCGCGAGTTGGATGCTCCCACAAAGGTGCATGGCCTTATCCATGCATGTTTCAATAAGCTGTGGGACGAGAAGGATTTCCGGCAGCATTTCCCAACGCGGGTAGAGTTCAACATGATCGCTACTACTATCGTGGCGGTTTACAACGAAACTGCAAAATCCGCAGGACTCCCAGCTCGAGTCTTCAGGGTCAAACCCAACAAAGATGCCTACTCCATCATGAAGATGCGGATTCAGCACGACAAGGGGCACGAAGAAGACAAGCGCATGGCCAAATTGGCTGCCGCCGCTGCGCCCAACAAGCGCCCACAGATGCAAGAGGCAGACACTGAGGGCAAACGCCCGCGCGACGCCCCCTCATCTTCATCCTCGACCCAGTGGGCCAGGCAGGCACGCTCTTCCCAGGAGGACGACTGGGATTGGTGGCAGCAGTGGTCCTGGCACGGCTACTACCAGTCTTCCCCGCAGTGGCCAAAAGGTCACGACCAGTGAGGGTAGAGATATGTCACAGACTTTCTGATCCCATATGTCACAGACTCTGGGAATTCGAAGCTCTTCCGACGCTCTGCAAATCTCTTCGGAAGCTTGTGAGCCGCGAGCTAGCCTTGCATACAAACCGCACGCCGCAGCATACCTGAGAGCTGCCACAAGTCTGCCAAATGTTGCCAGCTGTCTGACTAGCGATGCATGCAGGTACACGCAGGCACGTGCACATGACCCTTACGGCCTTCTGTCTTCAGCATGAGTAATCCGTGTGGGACGCCACGAGACGGATACTCCAGGTGTCGGCTTCATTGGAGGTACCGGCCTAATTGCTGGGGCAGGTGCACAGATGGACGCGTCTGTTCACAACAAGGTGTCGGAGGAGGAAGCCTTAGTAACTTCCTAGTAACTTCGTAGGTTGAGCAGTTTGAGAGGTCTGAGCGAGCGATGAATGTTAGCAGCAGTTTCACGAGTGCACGAGACCAATGGCGCCCGCAAAGCGCAGAGCACGCTCGCGCAGCGTTCAATTGAAAAATACTAGTAGTAGTAGTAGTAGTAGTAGTAGTAGTAGTAGTAGTAGTAGTAGTAGTAGTAGTAGTAGTAGGATTAGTAGGAGTAGTAGGAGTAGTAGCAGTTCTAGTAGTAGTAGTAGTAGTAGTAGTAGTAGTAGTAGTAGTAGTAGTAGTAGTAGTAGTAGTAGTAGTAGTAGTAATAGTAGTGGTAGTGCTAGTGGTAGTAGTAGTAGTAGTAGTAGTGGTAGTAGTAGTGGTAGTGGTAGTAGTGGTAGTAGTGGTAGTAGTGGTAGTAGTGGTAGTAGTGGTAGTAGTGGTAGTAGTGGTAGTAGTGGTAGTAGTAGTAGTAGTAGTAGAGTAGTAGAGTAGTAGTAGTAGTAGTAGTAGTAGCAGCAGGAGTAGTAGTAGTAGTAGTACTAGTAGTAGTAGTAGTAGTAGTAGTAGTAGTAGTAGTAGTAGTAGCAGCCGCAACTACTACTACTACTACTACTACTACCACCACTACCACTACTACCCGTACCACCACCACGACCACGACCACGGACGCTGGGTCTTTGTCAGCTCAGAGTTGTCGTTTTGCTGGTGCAGTATGTATACACCCTACTACCGGGGCATATCGAGGCAAATAACTAGCAATACTATTCTGAGGGTTCCATATTATAATGCGAGGTGCATGGGCCCCAAAACTTGCCCAAAACCCTATTCTAATTTAGGCCCCTATGTTTATATGAAACCCTGATCCCTAAACCCGAAACCCTAAACCCCTAAACCCTAAACCCTGATCCCTAGACCCGCAGTCCAATCGGCCTCAGGAAGCCCTGGTTAGACGGGTTTTGTATCTGGGGAGGAAGCTGACTCTTCTGCTTAACGGGAGTTATGGAAAATTAGGGGGTGCCTTTAAAGGGATCCTTTAGGGGCACGACCACGACCAGGACCACGACCACGACCACGACCACTACCACTACTACTACTACTACTACTACTACTACTACTACTACTACTACCACTACCACTACCACTACCACTACCACTACCACTACCACTACTACTACTACTACTACTACTACTACTACTCCTACTCCTACTACTACTACTACTACTACTACTACTACTACTACTACTACTACTACTCCTACTACTACTACTACTACTACTACTACTACTCCAAGATCTAGACCGTAGAGTCTTACCAGACGTAGCAGAGTAGTTGGTGATGTCAGAGTGCCGCAGCTGATGGTTCAGGGCTGAAGGTACCGGAACTCAGGTTTGAACAGACGTTTTTGGGTGCTGTAGTTTAAGGCTTGAGAGATTTTCGGCCCTAGGGCTTAAGGCTTTGAGGTCTCTTTTTGTTCTCCTCTTTTCCTCCCTGTTACAAGGATGTAGGATTTTGCCTTCGAACTGCAACTGACATAGCAAAAGGCTGTCTGTGGTTTCAAGATTTTACACGCGGGTGATTTTCAATACACTGTTTCGGCATATGTGTGGGAGGAGCGTTAAGGGAGACGATGATGACGTCCAATTAGCAACCATCAATATGACCAGGGCATCGCCACCTTCATGCATCACCCTGATGCCATCCACTTCACCACCATCGACGTGAGCGCCACCGTCACCTTCATGCATCACCCTGATGACGTCCACTTCATTTCGCCACCATCTGCATGACCACCATATCGTCACACTCTCATGCATCACCGTCTCGCAACCCTTACTGACAAAAGTATACAAAACACTAGTCAGCAGGTGCTGCAAAGGAGCCGCCATTTTCCTGGATACAAGTCAAGCGGGCAGTCCTGCTAGACAAACTCCTGTGCTTCAGATGCAGGGAAAAACCACTTGTGGGAGAAAAGCCCTGCATCCCGGGAATGGGTAGTGTTTATCGGTGGATCGGCAAGCCACTGTTTTGAAGTTCATACCCTATGATTATGTGTCAGATCCTACGGGTCGGAATTGGTGGCTCGTAGCGTTTAGGGGCTTGGTCTTAAGGACTTGGGCTTCAGATTTCGGGGTAAGACGTGTTCATGCCCCGTTTACGGCTTTCGGGTTTGGGGGCGTGGTTCGAACTTGCTGGTCGTGTTACTGAACTAGAAGCAACCACGAAGAGCTGATAGGGTTTAGGAAAATTTACAGTGTTAGAGCTTAGGGCT